CCACAAAATGTGTTGGTTTGCAAGGTTGCATATCCCTGTTGATCACTGTCTGGCAGTCCAAACAGGCCAACAGTACAAACTGACAGAAAGAGCAGAGTAGAATTTGAAAGACTCTCATATAAACCCTGAGTGTTCCAAACATCTTTGATCAAGTTTGAACTTCTTGACATCAGTTGACTGGCAAGCAGATAAACATAGTCTGTTTTTTGACACAACATTGATCACTTTAAACAACCAAATTACTGGTTGAAAGTCATGACAGCTTAAGTTGTAAGTTGAGATGAGAAACTTTTATCACTGTGGTCAGTCAGATAACAGCATCGGCCGATTACCTGAACTGCAAATGTGACCAGGCTGAAAAACAGCCTTCACAATAACACTGTCAAATCCCCCTCTAAAAACAGACATGCACACACTCACACACAAGCAGAGTGATGGGTTTCCCAGAGAGAGGCTGGGAATGTAGAAACCGCAATACATAGTTTCCAGATCCTCATGCCTCAAGAGACAGTAGAAGTTGGCTGTGAGACAACTGCAAATACTTTCCACTTATTTACCTGAGACTTCAAAGGCAGAGAGCGAGATTTTGTAATCCTGGAGGATTGAAGGGTATTCATGATTGCTTAAAGGTTTCCAGATTTTTAAAAAAAAGGGAAGAAAGAAAGAGAAAACACAGAGAACCGGGAATGTTGCACAGTGTCACCTGCAACCACAGGCAGACACAAGAATGAAATCAACAGTTTGACTTTGTGTAAATCACAAATTTGTTAGGCAGACATATGCCTTTAGTGTAGAATATCAAATCGTTATTCCTCTTCCCTGTGCTTTCTCCCACTGTTCAACTAATAAAACCCCAACAAACCCTTTTTGACAGATCAGGACAGTTCAGTGTGGTTTATTGTTTTAACTAATTGCAGCTTAAGGTTTGGATTCTTTGTGATCAACTATGGGCACATGATTTTAGTGCAGCACATTGTATCTGTTCAGTAATGTTTGTTGCCTTTGTCATCTGCTTTTTACATTCTTTTAATTTCCCGTCAACTAAAGCCAATGTTGACACTAGAGCAAACATCCAAGTAGGGCATGTAGCTTATAGTAGTGTGGCACCAATTTACTGGCAAGGGGCAGCACTGTTATGCATAGTGGTAGTGAAGCCATTCAGTAGAATGTTCAGCAGGAAAATATTTGACAAAAGAAGTCATTGTTCTGTTTGTGTTGTTTGTCTGTCTTCCATCTGCTATCCTACTATGCCCCATCCCTCTCATTCCTGTTCTCACTCCAACCGGTCGAGGCAGATGGCAGCCGTCCCTGAGTCTGGTTCTGTCAGAGGGTTTTCTTTTCCTTCCCGTTGAAGGGTTTGTTTGTTTTTTTGGTTCCTTTCCACTGACACTTGGTCATAGGGAATCCAAAGGGATTGTTGGCTTGTTTGGTCCTCTGCACCTTACTTTGTTAGGTGCTAGGAGATGGCATATGTTGTGAATTGGCGATATATAAATAAAATTGAATAAAATGGAAATATGGACCGCAAAATGTTTTACTCAAAATACACATAAGGTGACACATAACAAGGTCACAGCAAATTGACAACACAGACAAAATACTCAAATAATCTCATTGTGTTAGTAAAAAAAATAAAAACACTTAACACACACACACACACACACACACACTCGACACTCGGCCTTTCTGTGTTGTCTGGCTGTGATAATAAAATTCCAACTACTGTCCTCTAGACTGATCATTTGTGTTACGACATGCCATTGCAATCTGTCCTGGGCACAAGGTACAAATTGGTTTGCAGGAAAACCCCAGTGCTTAAGGCTGCCGCTGTCGTTGGGTGACCCTTGTTTCTATGGCCCTGTGCAAGCGCGCCATGGAGCAGTTGCCATAGCATGTGGGTGCTGTCCATACGAACTATGAGGCCTGTCAATAACTGGGCCTTAAGTATCATGGCCTCGATGCTAGGTAGAAAAAGCATTATATAAGTGCAGACCATTTGCCATTTTTCTGTGTCTTTTGTGATTCCAGCCTACCTGACATATTTTGCTACACCTCTTATCAAGCTTTGTACTCCAGCATTCCATGTGCCCAGCCTTCAGCTCTCCCTTGGTCACTCCATGCCATTCTGAAGCCATCCGTCTCTGAACCAGCCAGCCCTCAGCCTGCATCACTTGCTTAGTGACTGTTGTTCTAATAAATCACACTTTTAACCACGTTCCTGTCAGAGTCTGGACCTGGGTCCAGACTCAAAACCAAAACCTCACAGAAAATAATAAATAATAATCCAATTAGTATTTCTATCTTAATACCTATATTGGCATTCAATGGACATAATAAAATAAACATGAAAAATTCAATTGCCATTTCATTTTTAAACACTCTTGACTACTACACTCTTTTGGTGTCAAAATCAATATTAAAACACAGCTTTGTGATGAGAAGGTTTGCTTAACTTTTTCTATAGTGGGACACATGCAGATGCAGTAATGGAAACTGCATCCTGAGTCTTTTGCATTTACATTTAGATGTCACCATGCTATTTTTGTGTCACAATGGAAATGGAAATACCAATCTGTCATTCCTTTCATCATAGCATGTCTTTAGGTAGAATTTCACATCACCGTGAAAAGAAATGTAGATTTCCCCTCAATTTGTTCAGAGGAAGAGAAAACATGGCACAGCAGAGGCTACATAGTTTTAAATGAAACCATTCAATTGTTGTGCTTCACACTAGTTGCTTTGTTCATGTACTCAGTGAAATCAGTTGGTGTAAATCTAGATCTGAGTGAATGTTACACTTCTAGTTTGGCTATCTGTTGTCTCCAAGGTGTCGCAACGTGGTTAGTGCTGGCTTATTAACTTTTATGACGGGTCTGTTATGTCTGCGCAGCAAGCCAGCAGTTTAGTGTTAGATGTCTGTGTTGCACTGGGAAACAGGCTATCAACATCCACAATAGGAAGTCTAACATGAAAATGCATTTTCTTTGTGTGTGTTGACAGCTGTGTGGCTGTATAGAGTTGACAAGTGAGATTAGGGGAACAAAGTGGAGGTTCAAGCTGCGAAGAGGACTGTACGAAGACGAGATGAAATTATTTTCTGTCATTCAGGCAGTTTCATGTGGATAGACATTGATCAAAAAATAATTGAACACTAGTTTATCACACATAATTAACACAGTGTGCTAAGATTGTGTCAGCTGTGTGGAGATGAGCTTTTCTTTAGAGTTATAGGAGTCATTGGAAACTCAAAACTGCCATGACATATATGGTCTTTACAAATGTATGCAAAGTTCCATTCACAACTGTCTCTCATTCATTATTCTATTTTAGTCTTTTTTTCTTTTTACTAAAGTTAAATAATCTCTAAATCCTTATGTCTATAATATCATTTTTATCTACCAAGAACAAAGTATGGGGAAGAATAAAGACTAAAGGGTTAAGCTACCATAGGATCACAACTAAATCACCAAATTCTCATATATAACAGAAAGTGTCATGTCTGTCAAGTTTCTGTTTTGTGTGCACATTTTATGCCTCCTCTTTCCTGTTTTATTTTGAAGTCACTAACCGGTTGTCTCTGTCTGAGCTTTGCTTCCTGCACCTGTCTCGTCACACCTGCTCCCTGATGGCTTTCCCTCACCTGTTTTCCATCTCCCCTCATTACCTCGTGTATATTATCTTGTGTGTCTCACAGTCTCGTTGCCAGTTCGTCACACTTCACAGTCTTCGTCCCAGCGTTTTCTAAATCATAGTCTGTTTGCTCACGACCTCGTTTCTGTTTTTTGGACCTTGCCTTTTTGCCTGCCGATTTCTTGGATACCTCTGCCTGATTGACTGAACTCCTGTGTACCGAACCCTGCCTGTTGTTAAACCTGTCTTTTGTCTGAACCCATTCTGTGTCGCACATTTGTGTCCACCTGTTCTGCAATCAGTGAGTTCAAGACAGAAAGAACTATAAATATTGTCCAGGTGCTCGGGACAAAATATGTCATCTTAGCACGATTTGGGATCTCAACAGGGAGACAACATGGAGATACTTGTGCCATGCATCAGTGGATGCTTTGACAGTGTACTCTGTCCTCTTTTCTAAATATGATCTCTTCTGGCTCCAAAAAATCAGAGCAATCAAACTCCTAGCTTCTGGTTTCTCAGTCAAGAAACCAGCGGATGATGTCACTGCAGCCATGTCCATTTTTCTTATACAGTCTATGGTCCAACACAGAGCCATGCTCTATGACAAGGGTGTCCAATCCTGGTCCTCGAGGGCCACAGTCCAGCATGTTTTAGATGTGTCCCTCTTCCAACACACCTGATTCAAATGATCAGGATCGTTATCAGGCTTCTGCAGAGCTTGATGATGAGCTGATCATTTGAATCAGGAGGTGTGTTGGAAGAGGGACACATCTAGAACATGCAGGACTGTGGCCCTCAAGGACCAGGATTGGACACCCCTGGTCTATAGTGTTCAATAAATCCTTCAACAGTGATTTTAGTCTATAATCAGACATACAGGGAGCCAGTCTTCACCTGAAGGCACTTGGAAATATTGTTAACTGGAGCTGCTCAAATTTTTACATGATTTTACATGAAATCATTGATGTTTATTTTTGTTTAATTTGGTCATTAAGTGTAAAATCTATTGTCTTATTCATTTGTTCTTATACAAACACAGTGGTCATCTGGAATCTCTTCTTGCAAATTATTTTTAGATCATTCCTGCATTTCCACTAAACTACCAGTACAGCTTACAACTTTACACATTCTTTACCACAGGTGGCCAGCCAGCTGCTTCATAATTCAGCTTCATTCAACTTTCTAAAATTAACTTCACTTCAGCAGCTTTATTTTCTTAAAAAACAACAACAATAACAAAAAACAACTTCAACATAACATAAGCAGCTTCATTGGTTGTTGATAACATTACTAGTAGTCTCTTTCTGTAAACATGAACAAATCAGCACAGACTGATCTGATTTTGATTATTGAACTGGAATTCTCACCACTGCTGTCCTCCTGCCTCGTGCTGCTGAACTGTGTATCCAAACTGGGTTTCTTGAGAACCAGAGAAGACTTTAAAGTTCTTCATGTCAAAGTTGAAACAGAGCTGAAGATCTGAAACACAGAGGATTTGCTGTTATTCATTTTATTTTGCAAGGAAATGTTGAAAATCTTCTCGTGCACAGTTAACCCTGTCTCCCAAAAAGTATGTTCCTATAGGGCTGCTACCTGGTCAGTCAAAATTGTTAGTAAGGTGTTTCTGCCTAAAACCAAAGGCCTCCCTACTGTAGTTCTAAGCCACAGACCTGGAAAGGTAGCCATCTACTGAAGACGTCTAAGCTATGGCAGCATTTTAAACTTTTGAAGAAGTTAAAAAGATTTAAAAGCAAACTCTGTGAGCAAGAATGACCACATCATTCAACAGCATGGTAAAGTACTTGAGAACAGGTGTACTACACAGAGATAAGAGATGTCACTTAATTCATGGTTGGCAGTGCTGGTAATTAATAGTAACGTGTGTTTCAATGCATAAGCACTGAACCACACTTATTACTGTTCTTACAGATTCTTCCAAAGTGGTCTTCTGCCGTGTAACTCGTCCCACAGCTTTGAGAAAACCCATACAAAATATGTATCGAAACATGCGGCTTGATTAGGAATAGTGCGCCATGACTTTTGGTAGCAATTCGTCATACAGTTTTTTCGAAATTCGTAAAAACAACTGCAATAAAACTAGAGATGTCCGATATTGGCTTTTTTGCCAATATCCGATATGCCGATATTGCCCAACTCTCAATTTCCGACACCGATATATGTGGGCTATTTAACGAGTTAGTCTAAATACAAATTTAGAAAATGACAAATTTACCTAATGAATTATATATACATAAACAATATTAATATATAATATATAAATAAGAGCGGTAGTGCAAAACAGTGGCATATATTTACCAGAACGGACATTTGAGTAGCCTACCTACATACTGTTCATGTTATGTGCCAGGAAGATGACTTTATCTACATTTTCGGGCAAGAGTGAACTCCTGGTTTTGGTCCAGCCAGCTGGATTTGTTTTGATATCTTTTACTATTTTTAATCAGTGATGGTTTAAGTGTTAAGAAGTTTGGAAAAATCCTGAATTTTCCTTCAGTGAGAGAAGGTAATGCCACGTGTGATATCACCAACTCTAAAATCTGACGAGAACATTTTTATGAAAAAAGTCTAGTTAACCTTGTCCCTTTCCCTTTTCTTGCACTGACTGTACACTTTTTTTTGGGGTTTTTTTACCGTTGACTTTCCCCACTGTGGGATCAATAAAGTTATCTTTATCTTCTCACAATTTCTATTCTACATGAACAATTTCTACATACAAATGTGGGCTTTTTTTTTCTTTTACCCAGTGTGACTCTCATTACCGTAGAACCTGTGGTTTTTTCATACATCACCTCAGAGCGATGGCGACCTGTCCAGGGTGCACCCTGCATTTACACTAAGTCAGCTGTGACTGGTACAACCAAAGCTCTCATTAACTCCTGTTGCCGTTACTAATGATATTAACAAATCCTTGATCCCTGTTCTAGCATCACCTTTGAAGTGTGTTGGGTTGAACCTAAAATAAGAGTCTCTCCCTAGTAACCATGTTTTGGTGATCTGTAGCTGCTGGATGTTTTATTTTTCATTTTTTCTTTAGCTAGTAACAAGACTCTTACAAGACTAACAAATTACCTTATGCAGGCATTCCAAATTAAAAGCCCCTCGTTAGCTTTAAAAAACTTAACAGGATGCATTGAGGTACGCTATACCATCCAAATAGATGTTCTGAAACGTTAGGAAAGGCTTACCAGGGACTCTGAAATACGCTGACCTTTCAAAAATAAACCCTGCTTATTGCTTCCCACTTTGTTAGACTGTCAAAATAAAACTTCCCTGATGTCAAAGGAGCTTACCAGACAGTTCTTCTGTCTGTCTCTTTCTTACACACATATGTACAAACCATCTGCATGTTTGGGTTCACTTTCATTTTAAACTGTTTCATATGTTTGTTTGTTACAGTGTGTTGTTGTTGTTGTTGTTGTTGTTCTCTCTCTCCTCTGTGCTTCCCTCTAGTGCTGTGCTTGTTTTTCTTTCCCAGCAGGTAATTGAGCACAGCTGTCTCCACCTTGCTTATCACATAGTGTAGAGAGAGAAGGCATCAGTGGTGCCAGCAGGCCATCTGGCTGTGTTCAGACTGTCTGTGTGCTGTCATTCTTAAGAGCCAAACTTGTTTGTACCGTACTCCCATTTAGGGAGAGAATGTTTTTTTTTATTTTGTACGTTTGTTTGCTAAGTTTGCAGGTCATTGTTCATTGCTTATGGGGAACATCAGATTTTTGGGGGTCAAGATCCAAGTCTTGTACCCTTTTTTTTTTTTTTCATGACAGTAATTAGTATTTCCAGCCATTTTCCTAAGGCAATTCCAATACAGACCATCACTGCCATTGCTAAAGCTCTGATCAAGTTTTCCACCACCTTTGGCCTCCCAAAGACTCTGCAGTCCCTTGGCATAGTGTATAGTGCTTATCATCCAGAGCTGGAAGGTACACCAGAATAGTGGCATCAGATGTCTATGCTCAGTATCAGTTACAGCTTGGCAACCAAGTGTTAGTTCTGCTGCCCATGCCTGGTTCTGCCCTTAATGCTTCTTTTCTCAGATCCTTATGTAATAGAGAGTAAAGTGTTGATTACTGATTACCTCATGTCCACACAAGAGAACCGATTGAAGTCACAGTTGTGTCATATTTACATGTTCAAGTCCTGCTATTGAAAAGACGCTGCCCAGGAGGAGCAGGGAAATACTTTGAAGACTGCTGATGTGACATCTGCCATCTTGGTTTGTAAAGGATCTCGGATGATGGCTTTCAGAAAGTCATTAGGGAAGTTTGAAAAGTTGCAGTGACAGTTCCTGACTCGTTGCTGCTGTATTTATTTAGAGTTAACTGTGACTTGTAGGATGTACAGTGTAGTGTGAGACTCACTTTCAAAGTCCAACAAAGGCCTTTCACCAGGAAACTGCCCGTACGACTATTACTTTTAGACTTAAGTTTCATTTTCACTTTCTGTTTGTTTGGATGAGAAAGAGCAACAGCTGGAAAGATGTGCAATAAATGCTAAATACATTTTTGTTTGAAACACATTTGTGTTTTGTCACAAACAGTCGTAATCAAAATACCTCAAAATATAATTGAGACTGGAGGTCAGTGGCATCGGAGTGTAATTTTTGGGAGACAGGACTCACCCACTATAACCTGTCCACACAAATTGTCAATGATTTCTCCCACAACATGTGCAGGAAAAATACCAAAAATCAAATACAGCGACAACACAGATTAGGTCACTTCTTGGAAAATTATTATTCCATTATCACTGTTTGACGTGTTCACCTACACATGGAACCCATTGCTAAATGGAACAGCAAAACGTAAACTACACTTTATGACTAGAAGATCTCTTGAAATAAAAGGTCTCCTGGCCTGCCAGAAGGGAAGCAGATTCCATTTCTCCTTCACTTTCCCAAAGAAAAGAAGCAAAATATTGAATTTAGATGTAGGTGCAGAAGAAGAGGAATCAATGTGTCTTTTATGTCATGTCCGTCAAGTCTCTGTCCATATTGTATGTCTCGTCTTTCCTGTTTTATTTTGAAATCACTTCACCGGATGTTTCTGTTCAAGTTTTACTTCCTGCACCTGTCCTGTCACACCTGTTCCCTGATTACCTCCCCGCACCTGTTTCCCATCTACCCTCATTACCACGTGTATATTACCTTGTGTGTCTCACTGTCTCATCGACAGTTTGTTGCGCTTCACAGTCCTCGTACCAGCGTTTACCAAGTCAAGTCACAGTCTGTTTGATCACGACCTTGTTTCTGTTTTTTAGACTTTGCCTTTTCCTGCCGATTACCGGATACTTTTGCCTGTGTGACTGACTACCTGTGTACCGAACCCTGCTTTAAAATTAAACCTGCCTTTTTGCCCGAACCCGTTCTGAGTCAAGCATTTGTGTCCACCAATTCTGTTAAGTGAGTTCATGACATCTTATGGAACGGTCAATAATTAACATAACCACCGCAATCTGTGGCATCTGTTAACAATATATTTGCTCCACTCTTTAATATTAATTCAATCTAAATATTCTTAATATATGCTATTGCAATTGCATTTACTCAAATGACTGTAGCTGAATAAACAGGCTGCTTGACACTTAGTCAGATGTGTGAGGTATGAGTATGGTCTGATTCGTGATCCTTTGGGACCAGTCATCAATCACTTCTCCAGGTTTGCTTTGACATTTACATTATGTTTATCAATGTCATTATCAACAAGACACTACAACAAGCGTCATATGTGAACAGTACTGGAAGTCCATGTGCAGTTAACGCTTACCCTCAAAAGATATATAGAATCACAAAGTAAGAGTGAAAGTCTCTGAATTGCATAAATAAAATATTTGAGCAGTGGCATTTCTACACAGGGGCCTACAGTGGCCTATAGTCCAAATGTCGCTGGCCCATGTGCTGACTGAGTAATACACTAATCACTTTATAACGATGACATGCACTAGCGCCGAAACTAATGTGGCTCTATGGTCTATACGATGAATCAGAGTGACGCACCCAAACTGTAGCTCCGCTTTGCTCTCGGTCCTGATGTATTTTGTGCAGTGAAAGAGCAACCAGCCAATAAATACAGCTGTAACAGATAACTGTAAGAGTCTTTAAGAGAAGACCAAAGACCCAGCTCTCCACTGAACACCATTGCACTTGACAGACTGCAAACAATACCTGTCAGGACTAAGGTCTTATCACACTTCAACTTGTTTTATGGCACTTATCCAGGCTGCTTTCTACTGACCAACAACATCCTTGCTTGTGTTATATCTACTCTCAGATGTACGTCACCTTGGATACAAGCATCTTCTAAAGGTTTGTAGATGAGAAGGCCAAAAAGACACTGTTGAACCACTTGAGTATGACAGGTGAGAGTGTGACTGACTGGTAAAGTGCTTAGAAGAGTTGCAGTTGCTGATCAAATAGTTTTTTCTTCTGCTACATTGTTGCGTTAAACTGTGGACATAAAGTA